CTTGGAGAACCTCCTGAAAAGGATCTTGATGGTGATGAAAGAGCACTAGAATCATCTTTGCTTTTACCCCATTTCTTAAATTTTTGGATTAGGCTAGTTTTCTTGCTGAGACTACTATATTTGCTAGTAGAGCTATCAATGGAAGCATTGTCAAAATCTTCACTTCCTGGTGAAGAAGGATGAGAGAAGTTGCTATCAAGATCTGTGTCCCCTTGTCATATTGGTATTAACCAGACTGATGTCGGTTCTCGGCCTCATGCCGAGCCGACGTTGATGGTGATGCTTGTACGTGGCTTACTATGCATGAGTGTCTGACGAAATGGCACGTGTTGGCCCACGTGACCGATACGGTCTCTCCGGTACATAAATAATGATAGTTAAATTTAGAGATTTATTTGATACTAAGAATTTATTTGGAATTTTTGTTTTAGGGAGTATAGTAACACTTTAAAGACCATGAATTTTTCCTCCGCAAAAGTTTTCGATAGTTATTTTCCTTGTATATACTAGTGTATTAACGACTCTTCCTTTGTGTTTTTTCGATAAAAGAAAACAAAAGTGAGGGGTTAATAATAAGAGGATGTGAACAGTTTTTATTTAGTTGTAGTTACAAGAGTAGGTTTTGAAAAAAAATAGTAAACAAAGTATTTTGAGAGATAATTTTTAGGGCAAAATTATTCCAAATAATGCGGACATCAAATAGGATAATCTACCTTATAAATGATATAGATTCTGGGGTTAGTACACTATTGGATATGCTAGTGGAAAAGCTTGAAGATGGGGAATATTTGAACCTAAATGAGTTTAGTTTTGATTCAGTCAATCAATTAGAAATTACTTTTAAAATAATTATTACAAATTTTTTTGGTGATTTTATCATACATGACAATTTATGATTGGATTGTAGTTTAAAAAATCTTTAAACTCTTAATGTACTGTTTGCTAATTAAATTCTTGTAAAATGTCTATTGGCTGCTTATGTGAATGGTTTGTTTTATTGTTTATTATTGTTACTCGTATCAATTTTTCTTTCTTATGTTCTTGTCCACTTAATTTGGGAGTTTATGTGCTTATTTTAAATTGAGGTTATTGAACTTGATTTAATTTAGTGAGTGCTGCACTTTTTGGGAAAAAAGTAAGGAATTGTAGCTGTTGATTATTAACGGCTAAAATTCTGATAAGAATTTAAATTTAAAAACAAATAAATTTAAATTCTGATTATTTACAGGGCATCAAACTTAAAATTTAGAGTTGAAGTTAACATTCAATTTATGTGGTAGTTTCAAATAGAAATTTAGGTGTATGAGATTTGTGGTTGGCACTATCTTTAATGGCATTGGTAGTCTTTATTGGGTTGAGTGATAGTGAAGGACTACACTGTAGAATGGAGAGAAGGAAGAACTTTTACGAAAACTAGAGAATTTATAAAATTATTTATCAATAACTTTTAGCTTTAAAGTAGCTATAGGTTTAATGTATTTTTTTTAAATTATCAAACAACTTTAATTTTACTTTGGAAGTTCTTATTTCTAACTTCAACTTTAACATAGTTTTAAGCTAAAAAAAGTTGAGCCAAACACTACCTAAGAGTTATAATGCTTCACTTTTCTAATCTGAAAGGGCATTTAGAGGAGTCAAATTCTTTATTTTATATAGATGAGTTCTTAGGCAATTAGCTAATGATCTTTGTGTTGTGCTAGGTAAGGGGGGAGTCACTCACATATATAACTATTGGAAGAAGGTTGAAGCTATGAGGATTAAGTGCTTGGGTGTGCCAACTCTTGACATGGACAATGTTTGCTTCCACCTTGAGGTCAACATTGTTGTTTTGAACCTTTAAAACGTTGATGATTCTTATCTAAACTCCCAGAAGCATTTCTTATCCTCTGAGTGTGTGTTTTGCTGTGTCCACAGGACAAGTGTGGTGGGAAAGTTATCTACCACAACATTAATATACTGCTTATGTACAGAGGATGAAATTATGATCCCATGAACCGTCCAGTTATTCCTTTCATGCTGTGGAAGCCTTATGCACCTATATATCCTAGGCTTGTGAAGAATGTAATAGAGGGTTTGACATATAAGGGAACAAAATAAATGAGAAACAACGGATTGAATTCACATCCTTTGATGAAAGTCGATAAGTGAATTATTGGGTAGTAGAGGCTTACAAAAGTTTGTTTCTTGGTCCAAATTTAGTTCAAAGATTGTATTGGTAGACGTGCTAAATTTTGGTTCAATATTCAGCTAGAAATGGTGTTTATGTGAATGTGGTGGAAAGGGTGAGGGAAGCTGTACCTGTATGAAGGGCACACTAGTAATCTTCTCGTATTCTGAGGGCCGAACGAGAGCTCTGATCGAATATTCCGGTGAGGGGGAGGTACCTGCAAAAGGCACTCCGACGCTCAAGTCAAGACAAAGCACAAATATCGATAGTAATTAATGAACAGTGACGTTACCTCGTGACATGAGCTATTTATACTGACATTTATGGGCCCGGATTCCCATGGGCCCTGTAACAGGATTACCAAATTAGGTAATACGCCTCTAATCGGCTTATTGGTATGATTAACTCTTAATCCTTAATTAGGGAGAGTCCTTAACTCTTTATCAGTGGGAATCGGGATCTATGGATCACCGGGTAGCTAATCAGCCACCTGGTTCGGCCACTCGGGTGCCGATTGGGTGTCAGCTATCAGGTGGCCGAGTGGCCGAGCCAGTGGCCGAATAACCCTGCTAGTACAGAAGCTTTTAAGACTCAGGAGGTTGTGAGACTGGACCGTTAGAAGTTGAGATTTTTCTAGATACTTTAAGAAAATATTAAATATTTATGTGTGTTTTATTTCTATCTTAGTTGCTACTGAGGTGGTTAAGTGTAGATAAGTGTTAATCCTTATTTCAAGGGATTTTTTTGTTGCTTGGTCAAATGTTTAGGTAAATAGGACTGTTTGTCCTTATTTTGTGGAGATTTACTGCAGCGTATGTACTGCATATCAGAAGCCCCCTTGACATATATTGGTGTAATGTAACTTTACGAAAGTAGAGTGAAAAGAGTAATGAAATGTTGTGACGACTTTTCTTCCTTTCTTTCAAACACCAAAAACAGAAACTTTACTTCTGTGTTCCAGTTTTTCTGTTCTGGTTTTTTAACATGGACTGTACACATGTAGGAACAAGTGACTGCTAAAAGATTAGAGTGAAGCTAAGGTATGTCTAATTGTCTATGGAATCATAAAATTCAAGGTTTTCTCTGTTTTTATGTTGAAGTTAAAATGTGCACTTGGTGCTTGAGCATTTAATGGTGTTCATGTTACTGTAGGATTTAGTGCCATGTGTCCCTATCTTGTTCAAGGATGAGCAGATAATCCTCTGGAGAGGAAATTTCAATGAAGAGCATAACATGCATATCTTACATGACAGATAAATCATAACAAACTTAATATTTCAATGTACTTATTTATAATATCAACACAAACAATTTCAAAGTTATTTTAACTTAACATTTATTGCATTATCCATCCTTTCTATTTCATTTTATTGACAAAATATGCGCTCATAATCAGTGTGTTTTCCGTATTTGCTATATACATCTTTTGGAGATTCAAAAGATATATCACCCTTTCTCCTAATAATGTCATATTAAGGGTATTTGAAAGTGTCATATATTCTTTCCTATTCAAAATGGTATTATTCTTTAACTTTTGTCATCTTTTTGAGGATTTGAAAGCACTCTTTCTCCATTCATACATAATTAACATTTTGCATATTTCACATATATAAGGAAACAAATTAACTATATTCACAAATAAGATTCAAATTTGAGACTTTGAGATTTGAGGATCAAATATAATACTAATTGATCTAATAAATATTTATAATTTTTAAATACCCTTATTACATAAAAATATAGAGACATGAAATATCTCAATCCTATTAATAAGAAAATAAAAATGTTTTAGAGATAAACTTTGAAAAAAGTAATTATATTTATATATTTTTTTGAGATAGATTTTCTAAAATGTGTTTTAAAGAATACAAAAATTAATTTTTGAGTTATGTACCTTAAAAAAAATTATATAAATATTAACGTAATTTTTTAAAAGATCTAAAACAAAAGTTTTGTATCTCATATGTTTGAACAATCGTAAGAATTTTTATTTCAATTGATTTACTATTTATAGCATTATTTATATGGAACTATATGTGGATACATATTTTTTTTTCTCATCCCTACTTTACATATAATATATTATCTAAAAATTCATTTTTATCAATTATGATAAAAAAAAAAGTGTTTATAAATTATTTTTAATCTTGACTTTTAAATAACGTGAAAATTTTTAATATATTAAAATAAAAATACTTTTATTATGAATTTTAATTTAATAAAACTAATATTTACCATGTCTAAAGAGACAAAATAAAACCTTTCAAACGGTCAAAACACTAACTTCTTTTTTACAAGAAAAGTCATACTAACTTAAACTCTAAATAAGTTATCAGTAAACCTAATTCTCAAAATTCATAAAATTAATACACGAAGTGACGTAGCAAAGGATGTAACACTTCAATTAGCTAATCTAATAGAATAAAACAAAAGACAAAATTTTCAGCGAGTAAGATTTCGGGTTTTCTATTGATTTTCTAGTTTCTACACTCCTGGTCTTTCTTCGTGTCTACTGACTCCATTAATTTTTCCATTCTTCTATTAACAAGTAAGTTTTGATTGCATTATGTTTTCTTATAATCTCTTTCACTTAGATCATAGTAGCTAATGTGGCATGACATTGAATAATTAACTTTATATCCTATCTTATTTTATGTTCTACAAATACAAATATGTATCTGTTACATTTTTATTTTGGTTCTAAGAAGCTTCTTTATTCCTAAAATATGGTAAAAGGAAAACTTGTACAAGCTATTTTCATGTCACATGATTTTGTGTTTACTTATCTAATGAAATGCATTGCAGGTTATTGAAGGAATGAGTAAGAACATGATTCTTCTTAAAAAACATTGTGCCTGCAGCTCAGAACAACATAGACACTAAATTCATCCTTTTGGACAAAGGGAAAACCATAGTAGAAGGGCATAACAAGATGTGTTTGGCCTTTGTGGCTGATGAAACTACAACAGTTCATTTTCAGTTTTGGGGAGATGAGTGTGATGCGTTTGATTCAGGTGACATAATTTGTCTTACCAATGGCATATTTTCATACCAGCACAGGAACCTTGTATTGCGGGCAGGGAAGAGAGGGAAGCTAGTGAAGGTGGGGGAGTTTACTATGGCCTATGTTGAGACACCAAACATGAGTGAGATTCATTGGATTCTCAACCCAAACAATTCTAAGAAATATGTCCAATTATATGTAATATCTCATGTGTCACGCGTTCTCCCTCCTCTTCCTTCTGATATGTAAAAGGTTTATTCCAGAATATGAATATTTTTTTTCACGGTCCCAAAAGAAGGATCATCTTGTTTTTTCTTTTCTGTTTTGTCCTTGTTGTGATGGAAATTAGGATTAAGTTCATGTGCAATAAACTATTTATTGATTCATGTGATGACTATTACAATTCATAAAGTTCATAAATACAAAAATTGTGTACTTTTTCATTTGAATTATACCCAAAACATTTCATCATTCTTATGAATAATTATATAAGCCAATGTTATTCTTATATTTTTGATTGAAAGAAATATATCGTCCAACCCTTTTAGTTGATATTAATGTTGATACAACTTATTAGTCAAATTTATGTTTTCTGAAACAGTGATAAGCATAGAACTAGAAGGCATAGGCACAGACACAGGCACAGGAGACATCAAGCACCAGCTCCAGCTCCAACAATTATTCGCAAAAGCCCCCCAGCACCATCTGATACCACAGCAGAATCAGACACAACACCAGCACCATCACCAAGTCTGAATTTGGTAATTTGTTTAGTAAAATATCAAAATTACATTTATATACGAATATAAGCCAGATTTACCAACGTCATATCAGTATCACATTGTTTTGACCACATTTTTTCCTCCTTTCACAGAATGCTGCTCCATCAAACCACCAACAAGGGAGAAATATATGGACAACAGCTGGACTGGCTATTACAGTTTTGCTAGCTGTCATTGTCTACAGCTGCTAGCAGTCTCATGGATTCAATCTAAGCAGTTATTTGGTTTGCAAGATATAAAATTATTTCATGTGCATAGATCTGAATAATGAGAATCTATACCGATGATTCTTTCCTTTTTTTTTGGTTGTGATCTGTGCTCAGAAATGTTGATGGATACGAATTTTTGAATTATGGAAAAAAAATGAGGAAATGTCACATAAAATATCTCTAGTTTTATAAGTTATTACATCAAACTTGATCAGTTTCTGAGTCTATGCTTATATTCTCCCGAAAGTCATACTCTGTGATAAGTCCAAGATTGTCAACTAGTTTATGATGCCGTCGACATCCTGCACACTAGTAAGATGAAATTCCAATTACTTGCATGGAATAAGTATTTGCATGGCACTAATTTTTCAAAATGTGTATAAAGAAGAAAGGAAACCATGAGAATATGGCCATCATCATTCAGTAACGTTTCCTAAAACAAAAGCATACTTATTACTTAGCAACACAAGATTAAAAGGTAACCACAAAACTGGCCGCAAGATAATGAGCACAAATTAACTTTCTACACTCTTGCATGCAAGATCCAATATTATTAGCCATTCCGTAATTTATTGAACTTTCAGAACAAGCTGACATGCAGAAATACAATCATTTTACTTCCTTTGTATGACATGAGCACCAAACACAAATCTCAGGAAAGGATTATATGGCTGAGAAATTATTTTTCTTTTCTTGTAGGCAAAAATAGGTGTTCCATTTTAATATTTTACAGATAAAAAAGATATGGTGCACATTAATATGCTACATACACATAAACTGGGAGTAGATATGGCAAGTTAGCAGCTAGTATGTTGAATATATTTGGATACAAAACCAAGTAGGGTTGTTGTAAAACATCTATTTTGACCCACTGTTTTTGTTCTTAAATTAAACAGAGATAAGTTGGAAAAGTCAGTGTCGATAAAAATGTCAAAACATGCCCCCTTATATCATCCCCAAAATATAGTCAAAATACTAAATTATACGCAAATGTAAAAAAAAAAAAAAAAAAAAAGCTTTAGCATGAGCAAATAGCTTACCAAGTTATAAGCAATCAAACCATCATTAATATTTTTGTTATAGAAAACTACATATTGCTATAATTTATGTATCTCATACTCTCATTCTCTCTATCTCTCTCTCTTTCCGTGTATTAAGTATAACTATATAAGCAAAGGTATAACAGTACAAGAAACACTACTAACTGGCAGCAGAAGTAAAGGTGAGCAAGGGCTAGACTGCATTACCTAAGCATAACAAAATTATATTTTCTCTCTCTCTCTCTCTTTCCGTATATTAATTATAACTATATAACCAATGCTATAAACATAGGCAAAAAGGGTAAAAATGAGCATGGGCTAGACTACATGAACTATGCATTGCAAAATTACATTTACTCACTCCATCTCTTTGGACATGTATATTGAGAGGAGGTTTATTGTAACAGTGAGAAGAGTAAATCTGAATTGTTGGATCATGCATGTGTGCTACAGCTTAGAACATAAAATATGATATATTTTAAAGTGGTTATCTTTAAAATTCTAATCCTAACCATCCGTGCAAAATCCAATGACCATGATTCAGTCTTCCCTCTCACATCTCTCACTCGACAAGTCTCCTATATGTGCGTATATGAACTATGGCCAAAACCACACCATATGTTGTATTAAATCCTTGGTATTTTTCTCAATAATCAGATTCATTTCTGCTTCCAGTTACTTTCGCATTGTCATTATCTTTCAAAAATTGCAACTCTGCAGGAAGGCAGATATACTCAATTTTCTAATATTTGGTCAGTTTCAATTTTCGACCATCAGAACATAAGATGATTGCAAAGGTCATTCCCTGAAATCATTACGCTTCATTATCCCGAAACATTAAGAGACTACCTATTTCTTATTTGCAATTTATGGGCACTGAAAAAAATTAAATAGCTGTTCTTCAAAAATTAAGTTAGGAGTTGGGACAACGCCTTGGACTATACATACGACATCAGACTAAGGTTCCAGCCAATCCAGTCCAACATGTGTTTTCCCCCTGTCCCCTGTCCCACTTATCACGTTGGAGAAAAACTATCATAACCATATAGAAAAGTTTTAATAAAATATTAGACAAATGCCAAAAAAAAGATCATTAAAATAAAAAAAATTCACGCCAACAATCTTTTAGACAATACTGTTAAACATACATATTCATAGTATATGTAATCTAAAAGACCCACGAAATAATAGATACCTGTACAAAAACGGCACCCCTTTCATAAGCTAAGCGGTTAACAAGCCTCTTTGTTCTTTCACCACACAAGTCACATGTAAATTCTACAAGCAAACTTCTTCTCGGAAGTTTTAAGTCAATACTAGCACCCTGCACATGCAAAGCGACTGTATAAAATATCAAAGAACTACAGACAAAAGCACATATTTGAAAATTTTTAATTAAATATAAAAAATTGTAATCGGATTACTGTTCTTCTGCATTTTTTGTAATTGAGTCTCTAAAATTAATTTATAGCAGCTTGAAATTGCCACAAAAACAACAATTTATGACTGATTTAATAGCCCCAGAGAACAAATTACAAAAACAGTAGAAAATCCAAGGCCCAATAACAAATTCTCTCTTTTTTTTTTTTTTTTTTTTTTGCTAAAAACCTAATTTAGTCCCTTATTATAATTTTTTGTTTCAATTTACTCCTACTTTAATTTTTAGTCTCAATTTGGTCCCTAATAAATTAAATTGTTGCAATGTCGGACTTCCGTCCAAATTATTTAAAAGGGGTTAACAGTTGGCCACGTGGATGCCACGTAGATGCATAGGTAGATGTCAAATTTCATTAATGCATCTGAAACCAGAACGGTCCACCTATGCATCTACGTGGCATCCACGTGGCTAACAGTTGTATACTATGATACTTCATTGCTGTGTTGTCAAAGATGAGATGTTAATATGATGCTCCTATGTTGTATATGTGTGTGTGTGTGTGTGCGCGCGTGTGTGTGGTATGAGAACAAGGCATGGATAGGACTCAAGTGTTGTAGTGGAGGCCATACAATGGAATTAGAGCTGGATGGTTTTGATGACTATTTGTTGATGGTAGATTTGTGTGGATAGTAATAGTTCTTGACTGACAACTTAGTTGTATTTATATTTACAAGATTATTATATGTATATTGCATATATTAGAGTAGTCATTTCATCCTTATATGTATGTGATATAGTACATACTCTAGTATTTGTAAGTACATGATCTTAAATAATTGTGTCGTTTAGTGTAGGGATCATGACGGATCGTTACAAATTAAGCCACAAATTATTATTCGTAACACTCCCCTTTGGATGTTCATTATTTTAGAATATGCTTTACTAAAACCTTACTAGGAAAAATCTTATGAGATAAAAACCTAATGAAGGAAAATGAGTACATCATTCTTTAATATTTATTTTTCCCCTCATGTATACAATCATCTTTAAGACAACAGAGTCCGATCTTATGTATCAACTGCTCAAAAACTTAGTAATGACTTTGTAAAAAGATCAGCTAAGTTGCCACGCAAGCAAACTTTTTAAATATTTATATCACCATTCTTTTAAAGATCAAGAGTAAAAAAGAATTTTGGTAGAATATGTTCTTTTTGTATTTATCTTTATGTATCCATCTTTCAATTATGTAATACATGTAGCATTATCTTAACATATAATTGTGGATGTCATTTTTTTGGAAGATAAACCACAAATTTTTCGTACATGTTGAATCACATTTCTTAGCCAAACACATTTATGACTTATCTCATGTAATGCTAAAATTTTTGCATGATTAAACAAAATGGCTATGGTTTGTTTTATCACCATGAAAATGCTATATCACCACTTGTAAGCAAATATCTGATTTATGATCTACCATTATGATCTACCATTTAGTTCTAGCTTAGAAACATTCAAACATTATAACCCCATATCTATTGCGCCTCTAAGATAACAAAGGATTTGTTTAACTCCATTCCAATGTCTTCGTGTAGGTGAAGAATTATCACGCCCAACATGTCACACTTGAGGAAATAGCCACAAGGAGCTCCCTTGACCACTACGACCCAACATTTTCCCCTTCTCTGAAATCGCAGAAAGCAAAGAAGAAAATTTTTGAAAACAATAAAAACAAAGCTCCGAAAGTTCCTCTTAAATTGGAGCTTCCATTCAACTTCAGGTACTCTTATTTGGAGATCGGCCCTTTCGTTGTGTTAGGGATGCAAAGGTTGCAAAAAATGATTAAAAACAAAGAGAAGGATAATAGAGAAATTGTATGTATTTTTTCATATATGTGCAAAAGTGTTCATGCCTTTATATAGGTTGATTTTCCTTTTCTTAACAATACGCGTGGGGAAGGTGTTAGCACCCCACAGCGCCCCTTTCGGGTTCTCTATGACAGATTATATTCTAAAATAACAGTATAAAATTACTAAATTACCCATATTTATTATAAGAGAGACTAAATTGAGACAAAAAATTAAAGTGGGACTAAATTGAAACAAACAATTATAATAAGAGACCAAATTAGGTTTTTAGCCTTTTTTTATTATTTATTTAGGGAGCTAATTAAATTTCTCAAAAAAAAAAAAAAAAGAGAATCAGGACCTATTCAAGTTCTAATTTTAATCTAATAAATTTTGTCACATGGAATGTTAAGAGAGATTGAGAGACAACTAATTGGTGTGAAAATTTAAGAAAAAGGGATTTGATAGATTTTTATTATTATAAAACCATGATTAAATTTAATAATAATAATAATAATAATAATAATAATAATAATGATTGACTAACCGCTTCAGAATTGGGCGATTGCGGTTCCGGGGCAGTGAGAGAATCATCACCCACGAACCCATTTACTGTGAACACTGGACGGAGAAGCTTTGGTGGTGCGACTAGTGCAGCAGAAAACTTAGAGCTGAAAGAAAAATGTTAGGGTTAAAATTGAAATTTAGAATGATGAAATGAAAAGAGAGAAAGGGGGTTGTGAATGGAAAGGTAACCTGAAGAGGGTAATTGGAGGAGGGTTGAAGCAGAGGGAGTGAATAGGTTTAGGGGTTTTGTGTGAGTGTGACAGAGGAGGAAGGAACAGAGGCGCACTATAGACTGTATTTGCCGCCATTGATACACACGCACGAAGATTGAGTGAGATTTTGTGAAGTATAGACGATGCATCACAACAAAAAAATGGTAATTTTATGGTCTAACTATGATTTTATTAAGAAAAGTTGTTTCTATTTTTTTATTTTTTAATATTGTTTTTAGCTAAATTATGTTTTGGTGCTTTTATTTTAGTTTTTTATTTATTAAAATGGTATTTTGTTTTTTATCTTTTATATTTTAAAATTTTGATTTTTTAAGATGATGATCATTTTTAATTTTATGAAATAATTTTGAGTTAATTTTTTTTATTGATTCAAAATTTAAAATTTATAATATTAAATTTTGTTGTATGAAAATTATCAAATATAATTGATGTTTTGAATTCAAAAGAAATATAAATATAATGAAAATTTATGAAAAATATATCTTATAAAAATTATAAAATAATATAATTTAAAAAAAAGGCTAAAACCCTATTTTAGTCCCTTATATTAATTATTTGTTTCAATTTAGTCCCATTTTTATTTTCGATTTCAATTTGGTCCCAAACTAATTAATTGGTTTCAATTTAGTCCCAAAATAATTAATTAGTTTCAATGTGGACTTCCGTCCCAATTATTTAAACGGAATTAATTTTTGGCCACGTGTATGCCACGTAGATGCATACGTGGATGTCAATTTTTTTGAAAACACCTGGACCCAGAACGGCCCGTTCCGGTTTCAGAACGGGCCGTTCCAGTTTCATTTTTTTTATATATAAAATATTAATAATTTTATAAAATATATATTATTAATTATATTTTAATTATGTTGTTATATCTAATAAAATAAATATATTAATATTTTTTTATATTTTATTAATTTTTAGCATTTTATTCCTCTAATTTTAAATAAGTTGCAAAAAATTATAATTGAACAATTTTAGTCCATCGAATATCATAATACTACGATTTTAGTTTCTCCAATTAAAAATTAATAATTTTAATATATATATATATATAATGTTTTAAAATTAAACAATTATTTATCTATTCAAATTAACATATGTTATAATTTTCGATATTATATCAATAATATTATTAATATATTTATAGATAAACTAATATACTTTTACAAAAATATAAGTATATTAATTAGAAATATATATCTGATCTTATATATTTATATTTTTGTAAAAATATATTAATATATATTAATCAAATTATTAGTTTATTTATAAATATAGGAAAAATATTATTGATATTAATTTATTAGTAATATTAAAATATTAATAATATATAAATTTTATTTATTTAGTAATAATAAATATATATCATTTGATACATTACAAAAAATTATAATATATGTTAATTTAAATAAGCAAACAATTATATAGTTTTAAAACATTATATATATATATAT